TTATTTAAATATATAATATTTTTTTAATAAATGACTCTGTGACAATATGACTCTAAATATGATCATATTATATATTTGTATAATATATAATATGATCTCAAACTAAATAATTATGTTTTTTGGTATAAAATTGAATAAACTGAAAACCGATGGTATATAAACCAAATCAAACTGAAGTACATATAGATTTAGAATAGTAATTATATTTTAATGATCGAAATACCAAAAAATCGAGCCGAACCGAAACCCGATATCCGGATTGAACACCTCTAATCCGAATGAAACTGAACTATTGTTTCATTTTCAAAAACATAATAAAAATAATAGTTTCATCCCGCGCAAGGCGCGGGTCTTATCCTAGTTTCTTTGGAAAATGACGACCATCAGTTCCCTTATATATTAAAGGAGAAACATTTAAAAAATTGTAACCTCAATTTTGTAAAAATTAAAAAAGACCCTATGCTTAGGTGTCACTCAATTAGGTAGTCAATTACATTCAATTGAAAAATAAGTAGGTCCACATTCGATTTTTATATGTCATTAGATACATTTGTTGGCCAAATTATATGATATGATGATATGATATGATATTTATGATAGAAGCATTTATGATTATTCCCCTAGATATAATTACTATTTTATTTTCTTTCCATAAATAAAACCTACGGAATTACCATAAATGACTAATATATATATATGACACTTAATGATTGTTCCCGTAGATATAATTACTATTTTATTTTATTTCCATAAATAAAACCTACGGAATTACCATTAATTACTAATATATATATATATATATATATATATATATATGACACTTAATGATTCTAATAATAAATATTTGATAACAGTTTATATATCCTCCATCATTTTTCTTTAATTTTATATTATTAAAATAAATTAAACAATCAAATTAGCAATAAAATTAAACTTTAGATTTTTTCGTATAGGTTATATTTTGAATTTTTAAAAACAAGAATAAATAACTAAACTATTAAAATTATTATGTTAAAAATTAATGATCAATAGTTTAACATTTTTATTATAAAAAGATATACATGATTTTAAAACCATATAAGTAAAAAGTATCATTTAATAATAAAACAAATATATATATACAGACTAAACTATATACCATATAAGATAACATAAATATTTTAATTTCAAAATTTTCAATAAATTTTCAAAAAAATTTATAAATTATAAACTTAATAAATTTTTCACATTGAAAATTTTTGTTATCAATGATTTAAATATCTTAGTTCTTTTTTTTTTAATTTTATATTTTTAAAAGATATTAACAATCGATAATATGGCTGTTTTTGGTATATACCATACAAACCGAATGGATGTGATTTTATAAAAACCATAGGATTTGGATATAGTTTGATTTATAACCGATTAAACTGAAACATGTAAATATGTATATATTTATAACGACACATGAATATATATTTGTTACATGAGTTGAACTATAATTATAATTTGTAAATAGCTAATAATTTATTACAACTAAGACTTCTTATTTTGATCTTTTTCTTTTTTAACAGTAACTAAATTGAAGTAAAGATTATAAATTTGATGGACAACAATTAGTTGAAATTCTTTACAACTTTTTTTTTCTTTAAACAAACAGAGTTGTGTTTAATCGAAAACATATTGGTTTGATGAACACTAAATATGGAAGAATATAAAAACTTTGCTTTCGTGCTTCTGTTTTGTTTTTTATTTTTATTTTCAAAATTTAGTGTTTTGATATTAATTCTAAATTTGATCATTTTATTAGATGATAGAAGCCTTTTTGTTTTTTTATTCTTTTATTTAAATATATAATATTTGTTTAATAAATGAATTTGTGACAATATGACTCTAAATATGATCATATTATATATTTGTATAATATATAATATGATCTCAAACTAAATAATTATGCTTTTTGGTATAAAATTGAATAAACTGAAAACCGATGGTATATAAAACAAATCAAACTGAAGTACATATAGATTTAGAATAGTAGTTATATTTTTATGATTGAAATACCAAAAAATTGAGCCGAACCGAAACCCGATATCCGGATTGAACACCTATAATTCGAATGAAACCGAACTATTGTTTCATTTTTCAAAACATAATAAAAATAATAGTTTCATCTCGCGCGTTGCGTGGATCTTATCCTAGTGTTAATAGTATTTTAAAAGATATCATCATATCAACCAGAATTGCCATCATAAATAAAGTAGCGCCTAAATTCACTTTTGTTCTCTCAACAGGCAACACTAATAGTAGATGACAACCTGATATTAGATTCTTGATTTTCACTTTCAGGATAGCTTTTACATCATCTAGATGCCTGAAACGCGTTTCATATATAAAATTAGTTAAACTTTGCTTATCTTTAATCGTACTAATCATTATAAAAATATTATAAACTTTGAAAGGTCAGGTAGTTATACAACTCCACGTACCGGAATGAGTTTTGAGTACTTTGAAGTCAATGAGTATGTGCCGCCTAATCTAATGATTTGCACGCTCCAAAATGCATATATGTGGACCGCTTCAACTTTCATATTTGAAGTTTTTTCGTGTCCTGTTGCACAAAACCAGAAAATGTTCTTTGAATACTAACAAAATGCATTGGGATAGTAGTTTAGTGACTGAACTTAGTTCTATTGTGCATCTAATTCGATCGTTAGGAAGGATGTTTTATCCCATGTCATCAATATTAGTACCGGTTGATTCCGTGCTTAAGGATAGATTAGGACCTTGACCAAAATTCTTTCAAGCTTACCCAAAAAATATATCCAATAACAAACAAATTATTCACTATTTTTTCTCGAAACAATATGATTTTATTACATATATGGTTTCAGGTAATATACACATTTGCTTTTCAATAGCGAATATCAAGGAGTCAGCAAAGCAGAATTTCCATCAAGATATACATGTTGTCACAAACTTTATGCGAGACTAGATGAATGAGTGATTCTTAGGCTCCTTCAAGCTGTAGCTACCGATAGCTTTTACTCCATGCCTCTACATCGCATTGAGTACAAAATATTTTATGTTTTAAAAATTACATTGCTTTGCCTTGTTTTGAGGATCCCTAACATTTCTACGATGTTATACTGACAATTGGAATATTTCGGTTCATGATGTGCCAACTAGGCCTGGGCACAAGGCAAGTACCCGGCATTTTTGCGGTACTTGCTACCCGGCTTGGTTTATTTAAGTAGTTGTGTATTTGACTTGTACTTGGCTTATTCTTAACAAGTATTTGTGATATCAAGTACTTGTAAATTTCTAGAATACTTGCAGATTACTTGGTTTGGTTTTTTACTTGATTTTGTTTTGTATTTGCCTT